GTAGTCCTCAGTCGGGTGTTTTTGTTGCGTAAAAACTAAAACTGCTCGCCCACGCTTTTGCCAAATCTTAAGAAAGTTCATTGGCACTATATCCTACTAGGCAAAGTAATTGACATGACGCAGCATTAATTTTTTATACATTATATGGAATATTTACTACACCAAATGAACTTAATATAAATATTCCATTATTGTTTTTTTTATTTGTGCGTCAATGACCGAAATTAATATATTTGTTTCAATATAAAGAAATGCTTTTTTGTACAAGATCCAAAAATACAAGGTTCTCAAAATCGGTGATCAGAACTAAAGAACCCAGATAGTTTTAATTTGTGTTAATATTTTGTTTTATTTTGCATTTTTAATTGAATAGTAAAATTCTTTCTTCCATTTTAAGTATGAAGTGTGTGAATGAACGAGTGAAAGAATATAATAAACATTGTCAAACAATACTTATACTGTTAGCCTTGTTATTTGTATTTTTGTAAAGTCTGTTTGCATTTTCTGTTTGATTCAAACTTAAATGGCGGGAGTGGTCGTTGCATTTGCAAGTCGTGCTGATGATTTCATCAGACGGCACGCGCGCGAGACGAGTCGAAGTGGGGTTACGACTGGCAGCTGTGAATTCAATATTTATAGACATTACCGTACTCAACTGTTAAATGGTCACTCAGTGTAGATTTCTAATACTTAATCCACACCAAAAGAGAACACTTAAAACTCAATCGGCTTTAGTCAAAATAACACCCGTCTTTGTAAACAAAGTAATCACAATAATATGTGAATAAAGATTCATGACTCGTTCCACTTTAAAAAAAACATATTTCAAAAACGCTAAATAATAAATGCCAGCTCATGCTTTATCATTGGTTTTACGCGATTATTTTTAGATTTTTTTATTATATTTTCCAATACCATTACCTTCAAATATAAGATTATTTTCTACATTCTCAATGACATCATAAGAAACTCACTTCTATTACGTTGTTGTGTGTAAAAATAGTATTCCTTATGTAATAACTACACATATGAAGCATACGTATATAGTAAACAGCTGCCGACCTCGTGGGCGAATTAATGGAGAGCGCGGTTGTCGAGCCCTGGTCGCTGCACGTGCGCGGGTCTTGGATCGAACCAGGGCTTCGTTTAGCGGGAACGATGCTCTATTTATGACACGTGTATTAACTCTTCTATGTACATTGTAATATAGATCATTAGGTGGAGACTTTATTGATATACTATGATATTAATATATAATGTAATGGTACCAAACTGGTAATAAAATAAGGTGATAAAATCATATACTTTTCAGAGATTACAGTCAATTAGTTAGTTTACATTTCACACAATGAATAACATTAAATATGGTAAATGTAATGGTCAGGTGTGTATAATTTGTTTATCCCTAGATACATTTTAATACATAAGGATATTCAATATACTCTTGAAAATTCATAAAATCAATCACTTTCTAATGAATAATTAGACGCATGATATAGTTAATTACTAAGAAGACATTAAAATAAAATAAATAATACAATTATGAAATGATCTCGCGTACATATTGATAGGTTTCTTTGAATAAGTACTCGGTCATTAGTTCACAGCGACATACATAACGTTCGTTTATTGATGTACTGGTGCGCAATTACTCTGTTGATGGCGCACACATTAAAAAGCAGTATCCGCACCGTTAACGTGCACTCGTGGTTTAATTAATAGCAATAACATTTCATATATGCGCTTTGTCTGAGTAACAGTACCAATGTTGTTTATCTATAAATATAAAAACAATGGTTATTCCATAATCTTACTAAAATTATAAATTTTGTGTTGAAATTATAAATGGATGGATGTTTGTTAGAAGGTATCTCCAGAACGGCTGTATGGATGGCATAGAAGAAGTACATGGCCTGGAAGGACACATATTTAATTCAGCACGGACGAATTCGCGTGCTACAGCTAGTACACTTATAAGGCACATTACCTTTCATTAAAAGCTTTAAGTTTACTAGCAAATAACTTTATCTTAAGTTAATAATGATTGTCCATTTGTTCGTTCAAATTTAATTTATTTGTTTATTATTTTTTATTTTAAGTCATAAGTTTTAATGCTTTTGCTGACAGTTTAATGGAAGTATCCATTCACTTCATTGCCATCGATTCAAAATTCGATACAGCAATAATGATAATAACAACTTCAAATAGACAATGCTATTAGAGGAAAGAAACATTGTTGTAATGAAATTTAATTTGTTACACGACACAAATAACTTTCGTATTTAATCAATATTGAAAATATAATACATGCGGTATGCTATAATACTAGAGAATGACTTACGTACCTTTTTCATTAAAATCCATAGCTATGTAGTCACAAACAAGAATTTAACCATCCAGAACAAAAAGTTTGAATGATTCTCAATTGTTTACCAAAATATCAAATACAAATGCTGACTTTATTATCCACTCCAATGATTTTCATAAAATTTAGTATATCGGGGGTTTCGGGGGCGGTAAATCGATCTAGCTAGGAATCATTTTTAGAAAATGTCATTTTATTCGTGTTTTATCGATAATCAAATTAAACATAAACTTAACTTTTTCTTTCTTAACTTCATTTTATTAATAATTCGTACTTAAATATAATTTCCAAAAAACACAATTTAAAAAAAACCGAGCAAAGCTCATCCAGATTTTATACATTACACAGGAAGAATTTTTTTTTAATTTTCTTTACACGTCAAGACTTTGAAATACCAATTCAAGACAATATCGAGATATTTTTTCCTGTTGCAAAAAAAAGTACCAACAACATTGTGTATTGTTGATCGTTTTCAGCGGTTTCCGACGACGCTTATAATCGTTTAATTTATTGTGGTGTGCTAAGGAAGTCAATAAATAAAGTTAAAGTACAATCAAATAATGCTGCAATATAAAAATTATTGCTCTTGTGATGGTCTCAAGGAGATATCCTCCCATAAATGTCGCTATAATGATGAATATAACATTTCTCATACGTGTTCAGGTCCTTGGTTCCCACCATAGTTAGAGCCAGACAACCACTATCGCATCGGGATTTTTCGTTCCAACGTAAAGTCCCGTTCGTTTTGAACCCGTTATAAGTTCACTATGGAATATCTAAGCTTAATAACAGGTCTAATAACTTCATATTATTCTCTACAAAACAACGGCTTATGAGGCACACAAGGGAATAAAAGACACATATTTTCGAATACGTTATCTATTTTAACGCCCACTACTAAACCCACAATAGAAGTCTTACCTAAACTGCTTAAAAATATTTACCATAAAAAATCTTATTTTGTATCGACAACATATGACTATTAACACGGTCATAAAGATGTTAAAAATATATTTTCATTGTCTATAAAATGTAAGCAATAATAAAGAGAATAACAATATTACAAAGGAACTATATCATTATTATCTGTGGCGGGTAATGATAACTCCCCACGGCACAGGCCACTCTCACTTCGACGTGATTTACGCGGTGCATTACAAAGCGATAGATACGAAGTATAACGGTCGACAAACAAGTGCAAAAGATTGTGAGGGAACACTGTCGCACATATATTTCTGAATGATACAGCATTCCAAATAACTAGTAAACTAATCCATCTGATATTGTTTGTTCTATTTTCATATTTTCTTTTTGATTGAAATATAGTTTGACTTAAAGAATTTAATAAATGGTTTCTTTTCTTATAAATTTGTTCTAACGTTAGTTAAAACGTAACGCCATCAGTTTTCGAAACATGTTATAAAGTTATACATAGCTTTTTTTAAATAGGTCAACGTCGACCCGGCACAACATGAAAAGCACTCCCGTCATGAATGTATTTTAGTGATATAAACTTCCCTTACAAACATTTGGCATAGTCATCATTATGCAACAAATGAATGAAACTGTTTGTGAATAATAACAAAAACTGCTGAATATTTTGTTTTAAAAATTGAATAGAACAAGGGATATGTATTTATTTGCATTTGTATCCAAAAAAAATCTAAATAATGTCATGTTTTCCGTGTGGGAGCAATGCACTCATCATATCTAAAAACGCGTCAATAAACAACGCACGGCTGCAAATGCGTCGCTCATTCCAGCTCGTGGATTTATCGCAACACAGTGAACTGAAAATCAGCGGCCACTCCTCCGAAGCCCGAGTCACTGACATTCTCTTTGAGCTAAAATTGTTTTGCTTACACGGATAGTATACGTAACACATTTTTAAACAAGATATTGGAAGGTTTTTTAAACAGCGATAATATTTGTCTGTTATCAAGAAATTGTCCCCACATGTGTGGATAAACAGTTCACTGCAATAAACACAACACAAAACAACTTGTTTGTATAAGTACTGTTTCATACTCACACCGCTAAGTATGCAGGTATATAGCATTGTTTTTTATTTCTGTTTTATTTCACCAGGATGTCTCTGTAAATGAGCTTCGTAAAGTGATGGCTTGTAGGATGTAATGTGCAGAAAAGCGTACGGTTAACCGAAGCATAATGTCGGAAGTGGTTAGTGTGGGGCGTCATTGTAATAGCGCGGAAAGCGCCTAACGGAACGACGCAGGTTGTTGCGGTCAGGCGGGCACGGCCCGGTATAGCCAGCGAGGCACGCATCCGCACTTAGCTTGCGGCTTGTATCGCTAACTTTCATTGTTTATTCGATAAAGGAGCAGCAAGAAATGTTCATACATACATAGTTTTTTATATTTGTTTTAAAATCGTGATATTACTTATTGATTCCCAAGCGAATGTCTTTCGGTTCTAAATAAATTTCAAACCAATAAACGTCCATTCAAGTGCTAAGTTGGCGCTATCGTTATTTTATTTTCAGTTTAAGAAATGTAAAAGTTTTTTAATAAAAAAAAACACGGACCTGATTTAAATAACTGTCTCAATTCTTGAGCATAATGTCAAGAACCTTTCTTACACATTAAATTACTGGCAGTAAAAATAAACCTGAGTGGATGCAGTACTAATTCTGGTACTTTAATTTTGTAATACAATTTGGACTGAACATTCAATTTCACTTTATGTAGTACCGTTACAAAGTTTATTTTTAAACTCTTATCTTGTATCCGTGGTGTACTTTATACACAGGTGCTTGAAGCGAACAAGTTTTTTATAGATTCCTGGCACATTCGCTAATTTTTAAAACTTTAAAACAAGTCAAGTTGTTAAATTATTCTATGAATCGTGAAAATGAAGTCTTTAAGTTAACAGTTCTTCATACCACACGATGTTAAACAAAAGAACAATCGCTATCGTTACCCACAATTGTTTAGAGGACTTAAATAACTGTATAAAAGTTTATTATAAAAACGTATTGTTTATTTTAATTGTACAAAATCAAGGTATGTATATTATTGAAGCATTACTGTATACATTTATTTACATATTTTATGCTACCTTAGTAAATCTTATTCTAGTTTTTTGCCTCGCATATATCACACTACAAATATGACGTTACGGCATAATCACATTTTAATAATTTCGACTTGATGTGATATATGTTGTCCAAGTTAAAATGACATTCAGATCGAAACCATTTATACAAATATCATACAGGGTATATTAAACAGGTGACTTGTCCTGTAATGGAACTTCTTCCGGCGAAGTGCCGTTCGTAGTGGCTTCGGTTCGATTATTCGGTGGTCTAGGCGATGAACCGAAACGTTTTCTGATCGAACTCCAGTTCTTTTTTATAGTTACAACAGCTACAACGATGATCATGCCAGCTACGATTATTCCAATAACGCTTTTATCGACTCCACCAGTCTTAGTGCCCTCAGTTTTGGCCCCTATTTTAACTTCTGTTGGGCTTGTAGTTGCTTTATTCTCTTCCTTTGGTTTTTCCACAATAGAATTGGAAACCACATGCTCTGCTGGTTCTTTGTTTACTGCAGTACGTAATGAAAATTCTCCCGCCGATTGAGTTTTTTGCGTAGTAGTCGTGGACTCGGCGACACTTGATGTACCTGTTGTTTGAGGCGACACTGTCACTTCCGTAGGTTTCTCTGTGGTAGTGGTATTAGCATCATTGTTTGGATTTTCAATATTAGGATCACCGTCTATGGCTCCCATGAAAGCGATCATTCCAGGCAATGTAGCTTCAATTAAATCTTCTTCTATATTTTGAGGCGTATCTGGGCAGTCATATGTTTTCGTGTCACAACTTCCTGTGCATACGGTCTCTAAAGTTTCCTTGTAAGCTGCACATAGTCCATCCAGCAATTCGGGAGTGGATGTCGCTAGAGTTAATTTTTTTAAAGCTTTAAATTGTAGAAATACTTCAGCTCCAAGGTTCTGAAATCACAAATTTCAAAATATTTTAATCGCTTATTAATTTTAAAAGCTTAACAACTTAGCTATATGCGTTACTTACAGTTCTCATGTCATTTCCTCCCAAATCTAATTCTTCTAATTTTGTTAGGACAAGACTGTTCTTTAAATCTCTGGGGTATTCAATAAGCCGATTGTTAGCTAGCTTTAGAGTCACTAACTCGGGAAGCTCGCTGACTGACTGAAAGAAAAATGTCGTGTAGGTATTACAGGAGGGCCTATAAACTAAAAAAAAACATGCGCTAAGATTTGAACGTTGAGCATAATATCTCGGTTTACTAACTAATAACTTGTGTCTTTGACCGGAAACGAAAATTACAAATGTACTTAGAAGTAATTGTAATTGGAAAAATACATATTGTAAATGAAGATTAATTCTAAAATCAATTAAACATTAGAATGATCTCTTGGGTAAATTTCCATGAGGATAATTTCAGAAGATTTTTATTATTTTCCTCTTTTTAGTATGATATTAAATGTTAATAAAAAATTGATACTTACACCAGGTGCCAATTCCATTATCTGATTGTTATTAGCGTTTAGCACTTTTAAGTTTTTCAAAGCTGATATTTCCTTGGGAATCTCGGTGAGCTTATTATTCTGCAAGTTCAAGGTGGTAGTTCTTGGATCTATTACTTTTGGAAACTCTGTCAGTCCGTAGCCTGAACAATCCACGATGAAATTATTAGTAGCGCCTTCTATATTGCATACACACGGTTTTGGGCAAGCGTCGGCTGTTTCAGATGTGGGGGATATGCTTGATTCGAAAGTTGAAGATTCCGTTTCATTGTCAGAGAGTACTGGAGATTTAACGTCTTCTATTTTTGGTATTAGAAGTGTTTCCGTGGTTGTATCTGCTGGTTCACTAACAACTCCGTCGCCGCTCCCCTCTATAGGGATGTCGACGGTTTCTGCATGTTCTTCTGGAGGGAATTGATTATCGCTCTCGAGAGGTATGTGTAACTCTCCATTTTGCGCTGCCGCAACCTCAGCGCTGGAAATTGATTTCAATACATTAAAACATGTGACCGTATCCAATAAGTACATTTTGTTTTATCGTAACGAGTTGACGTAAAATTGCTAAGTACAGTGATAAAGATGGCGATAACTGCAAGGGCGTAGCCGAAGACTACAATCTTAGAAAATTTTGTAACGATAACTTTCATAAATATTGAATAATTTATTAATTGTTAATTTGCGATTTATATTTAGAATTTCATTTTTATTTTCTCGACAAAAAGTTGTTATGCAATAAAAATTATATTCCCATTTAGATATCATTGGCCTTGAATATATGTACTAGAAGCAATATTTATAATTCATTTCAAATATCCTTGCTGATTAATTTTTCAGAAACTTGTAGATGTTTAATAAATATTAATTAAGGTGTATATGTTAGATAATTCACGGATATAAAATGACTAACTTATATACGTCGATTTATCCTAGCGTGACAAGTTTGTAATACGAGTAGCAATTATTTATTCGAAAGTATTTTAGTGAGTATTGATTGTGTAATTAAATATGTGAAAAAAGCTTCTTCATTTAAAAAAGCACTTTACAGTAAAAACGGGAAATATAAAAATACTTACGCAAGAATTCCCAAGAAGAGCAAGAAGAAATGTTTCTGTTTCATGGTCACTGATTGCGCAAACGGACGGGAATCAGGAGTTACCTGTCGCGGACGAGGACCATCAGAGCGCGACGCCCGTAACTCACTGACAACTCTAACTATTATCACTCATTGATAAGATTACCGACGGCATGGCGCAGCTTATCGCGAATCAAACTCGATAAAGACTCCGCGTAAACGAGAAAATATATGGGGCGAGCGAATAACTATACGCCATAAGTTCTACGTTACGTACACAATTGTCTATTGACTATAGCGTCATACACCTCAAAAGATTATTTATAGTGCACGTGTACAATAGCTCAATCCTACGCGACTGTAATGCCCGCCTTCAACGCATCTCGGCTGCTAGTTAAATGAAACCGAGCATATAAACAGTAGCTAAAACAAACGAATCATATCGTGCAAGTCATCTCTGTTTTATTTATCCAGTCGACGCATTGTTTAGGAATCGATATGTGCATACTTTTGCTCATCAGGTAGTCACCCGGTGCCTTTTCTTCTAAATAAGGGTCATTGTCATTTACGTTGCAAATTTACTGAGTAAATTATCCAAATTCTTCTTAACAGTGTTTCATGGAAATTCGATGATGAATCCATCAAAACAGGATGCATTTTGGATTTTATCGGAATCAATTGCGAATGTCTCTTATCTCTAAATTTATGGAAGTATTGTTGACGCGGGTGATATCAGCACGGTAACATTGACACAATGATCGAGTCAGCTAGATGACTGGGTAGATAATTATGCGGCGATAGATTGCCGTTTTGATATTTTGATATTGAAAGTTTGTTCAATAATGCTAAATATTAATCTTGTATCAAAAATATGGTCACGAAATGAACAATGTTATGTTCTTATGTTTGAAGCTATTTAAAGTAAAAATATTTGAAATTAATCACTCATTCGAGGTAATGAGGTTAGGTTAAACAGGAAAAAACCTGTGTATCTACTACATTGACCGTGTTATTATGTTTGTCAGTACTGCAACGGTGGCGACCTGGCAGATTACCTGCAGGCCAACCGACTGCTCAGCGAGGGCACAATCCGGCTGTTCCTGAGGCAGCTAGCGGAGGCGATGCGTGCTATACACGCCAAGGGCATCGTGCACCGAGATCTCAAGCCGCAGAATATACTGCTCACACACAACGTGGCGCCGCCCCGCACACCGCATCCCGCTGAAATTACACTCAAAATAGGTAACTTCAACTTTGCTTTAACTTATACAAGTAAAGCCACATTACCGTGTTCAGTTCTACTACGACTTTTTACGACCGTGTTGATGCAACATTTAATGCCTAGATATTTTTTCTGTGGTCTAAAAAAATGTAGTCTTTAAAGTCATAGTAACCAAACATGTGCATAAATCTTTGTTTCTTACAACTGTATGGCTGTGGATTGTATATTATAGCCATAACTCTTGACTCTGTCCAACTATAAAGATCGAAAGCAGGTTTTAACTGGGTCGTCAAACATATAATTTGCGACGTTTTTAGAAAGTCTGCCAAAAAAAGTTATTAGCATTCTAGTGATAAACAATTTTTATTTCCGTTTAGTCTTTGCTAATAGGCAAAGACTAAACGGAAATAAAAATTGTTTGACAGAGTTTATTTTTAATATTTATAAGGACCATCCCCATAGTTGCTATCAAAATTTTAAAATATAAAATCATACTTTACCATATTTTAGCATAATTTTTTAATATGCTAGTTACCGGACTGACCTAAAAAGATGTAATGATTTACGCGCGTATATGTTCATAATCTTTTCATTATAACGTTCGATAGATTTTAAGAGAGATTTTTATAATTTTAAGAAGGTTTTTTCAAATAAATTCAGCAACTTTACTAATATTTATTTTTAAATTTCTTAGCTGATTTCGGCTTTGCGAGATTTCTTGAGGAAGGCAACATGGCCGTCACACTCTGCGGCTCACCGATGTATATGGTAAATATTACGCCATTTTATTTTATATTACAACTTGTTAATTGTTTTTTTTATATATATTATTCTTATAAAATGCGAGCTTAATTGAAGTACACGCTATTCAATTATTTAAATCACACAGTGAAAGGCGCAATGATAAAAGTTGCAACACATTTTCATTGCATATAATCATCTTGTGCAATAATAAAAATAATGATAATTACATTTCATTGTCATATTTAAATGTACCTAAAAAAATGTATACCGTTTGTATATAAACAATCTTTTTTATCTGTCTGCAGGCTCCTGAGGTGATAATGTCGTTGAAATACGACGCCAAAGCGGACCTATGGAGTCTAGGCACGATCGTGTACCAGTGCCTGACAGGCAAGGCCCCCTTCCAAGCCACCACGCCTCACGAGCTCAAAGCCTTCTACGAAAATAGCGTCGATCTCCAGCCAAAGTACGTGTAATATAAAACTCATGCGAGTTTTATCATTTACCAATAACAAAATTCGTTTCACCAGTTTCAAATCCCTAAAATGAAAAAAAGGTTTGAGTAATTGTAATGGTAAAAATATAATTACGCAAATCAAAACACTTTAAATTGAGTTGTCTATATGCATCTTCTTAGTTGTGCCTAACGAAGAATATAAATGCGCCTGGGGCGCTTCTATTGACTTTTTTTATTAAATCACTATCTAATGTACGCAAAGAAATTAGTTCCTTAGTTTTCTTCAATATGGCGAAAGTTTTTATATTTCTGGTCGAGCTGTATAACCAATATAGTCATAAATTATAATATTTGATAGATATGAAAAAACTAGTCTTGGTGCTAACCGCATTGCTTGTCTACTTTCCTGAAATTATATTTTACTTAGTAATTAAAAAGGGCAATGTCAATAGAAATAATACGTAAATGAATTGAAACAGAATTTCTTTAATCGATAGTTAACATTCTTACGATAACACTTAAAAGATTAAAGACATTTAAAACTCGTTCGTTTGAACTTTTGTATCGTTCTCACTGTGAATTATAAAAAGCGGGTCAAGTGCAACTTACTCTCAACCAATTATCTGAATCCAACAAATTACTAGGTTTAATGCTCCTTAACTATGAGTATTTATTTTTAATGAATTCAATGATCACATTGTATCGGATTCTACTTCATACGTTTACATATTTAACACGTCAATTGCCACTACGATTTTTCGTATAAAAATATACTCTCCAAGCGAGTTGATAGAACTTATCGTGTTAAGTATAGATTAAATTAAAGGGTGAGTTGCTAATTTATGTCATGCTGTTACCATCTTTGTTATTGTTATTCAGACCTATACCTTTATATCATATTTACATTGTTTAAAAAAAAAACTCGATCGGAATGAAGTTATTCATTACGTGGCTAATTTAAATTTCCAGTTAACTACACAAAAATTCTCGTGTAATTAGTGGAAATGTGAATACGATTTTTACTGACATTTTTCAGTAGCATTTTCAATGTTTTGGCGTCTTTATTTTTTTTTTAAATTGGCATTTGTGTTCAAAGAAATTTAGTTCGAAATGTTACCTTCAAACGGGCAAATTACGCGTGGTATTTTATGCCAAGTAAACTGTTTTTTTTAATGTTTTCGGCCTGTTTTATTACAACGCCGTATCTGTAGTTGAAGCCAATGTTCAAGGTGAAAACTGTTTAATAATACTTCCTTTTCGTGGCCAATGATTACGACACTGAAAATTTTTCATATTTGATTTGTGGTGCCTTTAGTCAATAGATGTTTAATTTTTATCTTAATATAAAACCATAGGTAAAAAAAATGGTAGTAATAGTTTTAACCAAAATTACCTTTGAGAATTTGAGGGTACCTAACCCTTTTTTCTCTCGACTGTCTTTTACGTAATTTGTTGTATAAGCGATTATGCAATGAAATATTACCACGTGTAGATGATTAAATATAGATAATTTTATAAGTTTTCCTATACTTGAACGTTACGAACGAACAAACGTACTTCGTTTTATTGTAATAATATTTTAACAACATATTTGTACTGATTGAATGTCCAATTAAGCTAATAAATATAACACAATGATGTTAAAGGTAGCTTGAGTACATTCACGTATTGTAATTTCTTTTTAAATTGTTCATTAAACTCTTTATGCTATGTGGAAATTATAATTCCAAATACAATGTTTTACAAATTCGAAAACGTAAACGAAACATAAATGATAGAATATTATAACAAACTAGCGGTCGCCAACGACTCCGTCCTCGGAATTAAAAAAAACTTAGTAGCCTGTGTTCGTGTTCATGTTCTATATGTATGCCAAATTTCAGCATGATCGATTGAGACGTTCCAGAGATACATTCAAACATCGATCCATCCATCTAAACATTCGCATTTATAATATTAGTATGATAAGATGTCAATCATCAATGTCAATTATAAAATCAGCTGTTAGGTATATTCATATGTAATTTTTCCGTACAGAATGCCAGCGGGCACGAGTCCAGAACTATGTAATCTACTGATTGGTCTGCTGAGGCGAAACCCACGCGAGCGTATGCCCTTCGAGATGTTCTTCAACCATCCGTTCCTGCAGCGGCCGCGCACCGCTTCTGCCACCAGTGAGTTTACTCTTTCAACTATCAACATTACACATTCCATACTACGAATAATATAAACAAACTACGGTATTGTAGCGCATCGTAGCGATTTATTCTATAGGGTTGCCATATTTTTGTGATTTTCGAAATTTAAATTAAAAAATAGTAATGTGTAATTACATTTAATTATTTACAATTTAAATTCAGATTGAAGTGAAATTTTCTTAAGTTTACCAAAAGCTTAATTTGAATTTCTATATTTCCAATTTTATGCCTTTAAACACTATGCAGTTGTTTTTGTCACTCATACCAATGTTTAATGCTTTAATTTAAATTAAAAAAAAATCTTACAATCTTCACAGCTTTGTTTGTAAATAGTATAAAATAGTCTACTAATTAGATTAAAAGTAATACATTGTCCCAGATTTGTAACATATATGGCAACACTATAGTATACGTATTATGAAACCACAATCTGACCGGGTGACTAATCAGCTGCAACCAAGTTCCATTGTTTACGCTTTCGAAATTTGTAATCATTCTACGACATTACTATCAAGTCATTTCTATATTAATTAACATTGGTAATCAATAAGGTGACGGCTCCTTATTATAATTTCTACTGCTTTAAATTAACTACCATTATATCATGTAAATAGTTTTTTTTATATTAAATATACTTAAAAACATTAATTTAATTGTAAATGCTTTGTAAAATAATAGTATACGAAATACATTTTGTATGATACAGGATCACAAATACAATTTTACACGCCTCTTTCTACGTATTGATGACGACCTCGTAACAGTTTTTTGTTATAAAACTCTTTGATCTATTCCTAGTCAAACTAAAATGTTTATGCTATGAAAATTAAATATTTATTTTAGACGTCTGTATTAAACTTATCACATGTAATTTAAGGAACTGATTAGTAACGTAAAATGGTTCTGTCTCTACCTATTGAACTGACAATTCATTAATCTTGTTAAGACAAATCAGCAAATTAAAAAAAAATAGTTACAAAGCACATTACCATTCATGTATTTCTCATCCAAGCTTTCTAGTCCGGAATTTTTGAACGAATGTTGTTGTCCAGGTTTGGACACGGATCTACCTGATATATTGGAGTGCGTTATGGAGGGCCAAGTCGATATTAACTGTTACCTAGAGGAGTCCTGGGACAGTCAGGGTATACAACATTTACACTACTGCTTTGGTCGCATGGGGTGAAACTATTTCTGTGCCGTTAACGAGCAATGTACACGGCATTCATGTTTCTTTACGTGCCGTGAATTCTTCAAGCATACTAATACAATGAGCATGGCTTTATTTATACCTTGATTTAACGCTTTTGGTTAATATCAAAGCTATTATGGGGTTCAAAAATTTCAAGGACTAGGTATACTATGTGCCTCCATTGCTTTTATCCATGTCGTAACTAACTATGCCTTAAGTTTCTAATCTGTATTGTGTAACTTTTAAGATTTCTAAGGATATTATAAATAACATAATGGTATACTAATCATAAATGCTACATTTTATTTATTACTTTTAATTTACACAATACAGACGCGCATTGTCATTTTTAAAAGCCATGACAAGTACATAATTCAATCTATTTACTTTTATGTCGTAGATATCAAAAGTTAATTTATCTATTTTCTATACCAATTAATGTTTTAATTGTATGTATGTATGTAATTAAAGCTACAGATCAATGTCTTATATAATATATTTGGTCGTAATAAACAATGAAAGTGTGACGTGTCAGCAGGAGCAGGCGCAGGCGCGTCGTGCGGTATGTTGGGGGCGGGGGCGATGGGGGGAGGTAGTGGTGGGGGCGTGGCATCGCGCTCCCCCGCCGCGCGCTCCCCGCTGCCCGCCCCGCAGCCCGTCACGCACACCATCACCAAGGCACCCGTCTCCTCGGGTAAGATACAACATCACTCTATATCTATAGGTAATGTAATAAAATTGTAGTAATCTTCGAAAGGGCTGGAAGATTTTGACGGGATTTTACAGGAAGGTAGTTGATACATGCGGCCATATATATCCTACTTTATTCTGCGCTGATGAAATCACAAACGACCGCTAGTACACTATACAAATATTACAATTTTACTACCGTTATCATATGACCCTTATCCATATCGTTTTCTAAATCCGAAAATGTAAGTCGTACTTCTCACTTGTTATAATGTTTACGCAGAATCATGAAAACTAAGTGCTGAGATTGTTGTTTTTGTTACGTATCTTTAAGTGTAGTGAAAGTTGTTTCCAATCCACAATCACACTGAGAGCAAAACTGTCAGAACTTTGATAAGACTTATTTAGACATTGTTTTATCGCAACGCTTCAGTATAATTGGGTCATTTGTCAGATTGCTTTATTATGTTTATTCATTCGTTCCCAAACACGCAAGCGGAACAATATGATTCATCAAGTATAAGTACTTTGTAGTTTTATCTCTTCACTCTTAAAAACCTTAATTGCGCACTAAATGCAAAAACGGTTATGTGTAAAATCTATTTTTTTTATTTTGCATCTCATACTCGTCCTTACTGAGAAGCTCGATACTGCTTTAAATCAGAGGTTACTAGACCTTGTTCACCACACATCTTAGAATCATTTTTGATCTAAATATAACATATTTTTGTTTTCTGTTTACTTTTAAAAATAGCCTTCTATTAGTATGTCGTCAACCTGGTCGATAAACTTTTGCATTGTCCGGCATTGATTAATAAACATTTGGAACGCTACTGGAAACAATAAATTAATATAACTTCAGAGATAACGCTCCGTACAATAAACTGTGTATTTGTATATAATCACTGCGCATACAAGATTAATGAATACAAGTTAATTAACTAACAAATATACTTCGTATATTTATTATTTTTATTCATATTTTCCCGTAGTATTATTACCTTAATATATTACTAACTGTTGCCCGCGGCTACGTCCGCGCGGTAATACAAAAATGATCAATAATTAATATAATTAGTTTCGGAGTTTATCGCGAACATACATTATGACAGAAATTTTTGTACAAATATATGAGATGAATTCAAAAATATATAACGTCATATCTGCCATAGAACCACAACAGTATGTACTGTGTTGACATTATTAAAAATTATAAACATTGATTTTATATATCCTCTTGATATACAAGCTTTTAGCTTTGTTTTATCTTTATACTTGCAGTCATATATTTAAGCATTTTCTAATTGTTACTTACGAATACAAAATTACCACTTGCGGAGTATTCTATATTTCACAGTGCTTTGTTTCGCCGAGACAATAGCTTGCAAAAATATTTTTTCGTTTGCAGTACAATACTTGTTTATCCATCGTCATTACAATACTGTTTTATAGGTCATGCTAAAGTACAGTCGAGTGGACACAAAATAATTTATATTAAAAGGAAATGAGATCAAATGTTAATATATTTTTAATGATATTAATATCATTAATATTCTAATAAAAAATATCATTAAATTTCTCTAATAGTGCAATTAAAAAGTATTGTATTCGCTATGAACACAATATTAGATAACCTTCCCTACCCTTGAGTGTACGAAGCTCGGTATATCAAGTTTACAACCGCAATAACTTACGAGGCAACGATTTATAAGTCCATACCGTGCCGATATCGCTTACGGAGGAAACAAAGCGATAGTCCAAATAAATTACTATCAAAAACGTCGCAAATATTACAACGACGCAGTTAATCTAGTTATGGTTACAATCCAAAATTAAACCTGAAGTCAATTTGGTTTTAAATACAGTTATAAATTTTATAATATAAAATTAAGTTATTTTAATGTATTATCATGGATATGTAATTCAATATGTAATGCATACTGGCTTTCGCCCGCGACTCCGGCCGAGCAAATTTAAAAAAAAAAATTAATAGCCTATGTGTTGTCCGGTTCTATGTTCTTCATCAGTGTCATATATCATTAAGATCCGTGGAGCCGTTCCGGAGATATCATGTAACAAACATACGTCCATCTATCCGAACTTTCGCATATATAATACTTTAGTAAGATTATGTATGTGTCTGCTCTATAATTAGCGGAAAGAGATTAACAATTAAGTATGATATTGTTTTGTGTCAATATAATACGTTTGCTGCGACCTTTCACACGCAACAATGCGTTCTCATTTCGCAGTTCCTTTTATAACTCTCAGCCATTGTATTTTTAAACAATTATACATTTAGTGGTACAATGTACTTAAATATTATATATTCAGTAAGATGATAATCATCGAGCAAATGTATAATGAACTGTCATTACAGTTTTTCCTATTGGTACAAGTAATTGTTGCAATAGATTGAAACGATCACCACATTTATGAACTCCGTTCCATAATAATATAACTTACAAAGAGCATTACCCTTGTAATTATATTGTATTTATAGGCAAATATTATGTATCTACCCCCATTTGACACAGGCCTTGTAGATTAATTTCGTGGATTCTAATACGTCCTCAATGTACTTTCAGCCGAGTCATCAGACACGACTTGGGCAGGAGAAGACGACTTCGTAGTGGTGGAGGCGACGGAGAGCGGGTCCGCGGAGTGCTCCGGACACTCGGCACACTCCTCCGGCTCCGAGGCTGCGCCGCGACCTCGGTCGCTGGCCCTCACGCCCGCCTCGCCCGCCACGCCCACCGCGCCAGACACGCCCTCATCGCCCGCCTCCTCCTCGCCGCCAGACCATCCCGCACCTCTACGCGTTAGTTCTATACACATTGTTTACTTGTTTTTACCAAAAACATAAGAACAGAAGAGGCAGATCAGAGCCATTGTCCCGGAGTTGGTCACTTATAGGGCAATGATACAAAAGAAAATTTAAAAACAAAAATTTTATGGAACTTTTGTTGTTGACGCTACGTAATTGTTATTCTTGACAAAAATAGCCTGTTTACGAAAGCTATCACTTATCGGTTATTGGTACGTTCGTGTTTACATCCTTATAGATTACAGAAACATTATAGATTAAGGCTAATTTATTAGCTTTTATTATGATAATGACTATTAACACTGTATTTTTCATATTTTAGCTAGTACGTAATTAAATAAAGTATATTTTATGTATTGCAGAACCCTATGACGGTAGCGTCGAAGGTGCCGCGCTCTCAACCCATTGACGTGCTGCGATCGAACAACAACCGGAACACGACAAACATCGGCTCACTCTCACCACCATCCGTAAGTCGCAGATTACAGTACACCGTTAGCATGCCTTACAATTAGATAGCTTAGGCATATTTAGTTTCTTTTTTACATTCATAAAATATCATAAATAACTCCATTATCAGAATACACATTTTTGACGATTAGATAACACAGTACATTCGATTGCTAGATTAAATTTTCTTTAAGTTTTTATGTAATTATTGACTATTCCAGGTGCCGTTCACGATGGGCACACCCCCGTCGACGCGGCGGCGCAGCGCGTCTGGCAGCTCGCCCCCGCCCTCGCTGTGGCAGGTCTCGCCCACCAACGCCAGCCCACTGCGCAGATCTGGTACCCGCCCACTCCCTGCTTACTGCAACATCGATATAAAACTCCGAATAACTAAAAGAGCTAATAATTTAAAAAAAAACTTTCTTCAAAACGATTCAAACGTGCCCAAACTCAATGAGCTTGTGTCGTTTCATTACGAAGTTCCTATGGCCACTTTCTAGCTGCATCATCAGATCGGCATCATGTTATAATAATGTGACATTGTCACGCTAATTACATATGCATGCTAAATTTGAGATCACTCAGTGATAGGTGAAATTCAAGAAAACCTTGTCTTACGTCTATTTTAAACTTTATAACTATGTATTATACGTAGGGTCATCACCGCCGGTGTCGCTAGCGCTGAAGGCGAGCGGTGAGGCTGCGTCTCCGAAGCGCGGCGCACTCCCCGACGCCCTGCTGCGCGGCCTCAAGCTGCACCAGCCCGAGCCGCCTGTCTACATACCCAACCTGCAGGAGGACACCATACTAGCAGTACATATACATTGACTATAAAAAAAGTTATAATAGAGTTGCCGATACTAATAAAGAAAAAATGTGGAAGAGAATGACGTCTACAGTATTTCTTTTTTAATTATTCCTTATTTTATTTCTGTTGAAATTTCACAGCTTTAATACATCTGATTCTAAGAGACATTTAATAATAGTTTTTATGCAAGTATTTCTATAGTAAAAACTCATGTGTTACAGGAGGAGCACAGCAAGGTGTTCTCGCAGTTGAACTTCGTGCTGATGCTGGCGGAGCTGCTGTCAGACCTGGCCGTCTCCTGCGGCGCACCTATCGCCGCCCTCATGGACACATCCGACGGTAAAAATATACATTTATTTACATTACAATGTCAAACATGCAGAACTAACATGTAATCAGTACAATTCATAAATATAAACTTAATATAAATAATTGCTTTTGACATATTTCTAAAATATGTAATGTCACATGGTTCAAAAGACTTACCGAAGCCTAATACTACCTACCTTTATACTTGAGAACGGTATACCATTTATACCTAAAATTAGTTACAAAATATGGTTAAAATTATCAGCATAAATACTGCAGCATAAAAAACACCACAAGCAACGACTAGTGATATAAATGTATGTAATGTGTTGCAGAACGTTGCGGGTCGAGTGTGCGTCTGGGGTTGCTGGTGCAGGCGATGCAGGCGCTGGCGGCAGGACTGCGCCTCGCCGCCGCGCACTACCGCGCCCGCACGCTGCAGCCCACACCACAAGTGCGCAACGGTAACTACATCTACATATAATTACTTTATATAAACGTTGAACACATCACACTTAATAAAAATAAAATGGCTAATTAAATGTTTACAAATGCTTCTAATTTATTTGTTATAATTGTATAGTAATTTATTTATATATAAGTATAATTCTATTTGTAAATTATTTGTTTTTGATTTGTCGGCAGTGGTGTCCCTGATGAACGGCAAGTACAAGTGGATAGTGAACGAGTCGCGACGGCTGCACGAGGCGGGCGTCACACCGGCCATCTGCGACAAAATACTTTACGAACACGCAATCGAACTTGTAAGTAAAACATAACAGTATACAAACAGTCACTTACAAACGTTGTACAAAACACAATATACGTTCCATGCCATTAGGTTTCTCTTTGTGGCAATGAAAGTGTTGACGGCAGGACGTGAAAGGAGACGAGGCAGAGTGGTCTTTTCCTCTCAGATTACTTTAAATTTAAATAATATATTTTTCGAAACACGGATTATTAAGAATATGTAATAATGTGTGTATGTGTATACAGTGCCAGATGGCGGCGATCGAGGAACTGTTCGGTGACATGAAGGAGTGCGAGCGGCGCTACATGTCCGCGCAGGTGCTGCTGCACTCGCTCGTGCAGCGACACCCGCTGCACCCGCAGCACCGCACCACCCTCTCCAAGTGTTAGTACATACTGCATGCAACATTATCTAACATACCACAGATAGCAGCAACAATATAACCTAAAATGTACATAGACCAAACAAGCTGTTTGGTCTATTCGCTTGTGTGTCTCACCGTGGGCTTCTGAAACCTAAATCCCCTTTTAAACATATCCATTATCCTTGTTTTGTCAAAAATAATGACAGGGATGACGATATGTTTTATACATCGATTTTGCTGTCAGTAATCCACTGTCACTCCTAAAAACAAAGTAAAATTTATAAATAGCAATATCGTCACTATTAAAAATTTGCCTGATGTAAAAATAAAGTTATCTCAAATATAACCTCTCAGTCTACATCAAATCATGTATGTCGGCCAATTCAAAATATGAAAAAATAAAATGACAATAATTATATTACAGACCGAGACGCAGTTCAAAGGCGGCTCAATTGCCTCAAGGGGCCGCGCAAAATCATGGATGTGAAACTAGAGGCTGGGATCTCATAATGCAATAAGCAACAACCCTATAGAGATATAAGCACATCAACGCAACATGTGAAGTGATTTTATTTTGTGGTCAAACTGACTTTCAGTGATATTTACTGTGTAAAACTTAAATGTGTAAAAAGTGAAATGTGAAAAAAACTAAATCAATTCATAGAACTTGCAGGTGTTTAGCAACAGAACATTACCAGAGATTGCAATAGTGTGTTATATTTTTTTATTGTCCAGAGTGGTTCGCAGCCGTCGCGTCTTGACGGCTGGAGAACATAGACAATTATAGAACCGTCTAAAATATTTTATCGCTGAATGATTCTAGCGTCGCTTTAAGATAAAGTTTACATAAGTAGTTGACATTGTACCCTGTTTGAAATTTACATATTAACCCCCCCCTTTTATTTCTTATTATAGTACAATTTTCACAATAAATCAAACTCATAGTTTATTTTATCAAACTCGTTTTGTGTAAAATTACTAGATTTGCATAAACAACAGAAAAAGCTAAAAAAAAATGAATAGCCATTGTAGTATTGTTTCCTGATGTGTCTTCATAAATGTATTAACATTTTATTAATAACAATGTAGTGAATAATGTACGGAAAATTATAAAGGAATATTTGCAAATGGACATAAAGTTTTTAGAGATCTCATTATCGACCAATAACAATATGGCATTTCTAGATTAAGTTATCAAATATGTTTTTGTGTGTCATTGCTACAACACAGAGTATGAAATTAACTTCTATAATTGCTAGATATGTTTTTCTTTGTTTGTTTCTGATTGTGACTACATTTTAGTTTCTTCCTCAAAGATATTATATAATTAAACTTACTGAAATAAGAATAAAGACTGTTGTATTATAAAAATAAATGAAATTGTTGTTTTATTATGCACCACACATACTTTAACTACTCAAAGTAAGACATCCAATAGCTCTTTTAATACATTTAAATAAATTTAGTGGAATTTTTAAATGAAAAACATGTTTATTTCTTAAATTTATTTTACCACACTAAGTGAAAATTCTTATACTTTTAATATTGGACAAATAAACCAGGTCCTTGTTTAAGAATCTTGTATGGTTTCATACGGTTTCTACCGCGGACTTGTTTTAACATAACTTTGTCTGGTGGAAACTCAACAGAGCCACTTGTTTCTAGTAAGATATCAATAGATGTCAATAACTTCGTCATTTGTGCTGAAAGTGTTTGTGGACCTGAATCATTTGTATCCCAATTAGTATTTATAAGTCGCTCAATATCTCGCACGTCATCGTTGACACCGGCATGGTGAGTTCCATTCCAATCTAATGTTAAAGAAAATAATGGAGCTTTCTTTGGGTAGTCGCTGCTAAGGGCTACTAAGGCTACCAATTTGGCTGATTGTCTTGTTACAATAGCCCGGTACAACATATTTTCTGCAGTCACTAGACCTTCAGCTATCAAAAAAGCTGTAGAAGGTGATTGACTGTACTCCGGCCAACCTACTGATTGCCACTGAGTCAATGTTGCTGATAATCTAATAGGCGTATTATTTTTAATAGGTAAAATTTTTCCACTCTCTAAATCTTGCAACTCTTTCATCAGTTCCACTCTTGCTTCTAATCGTTTCTTTATGGTGAAAATAAAATTTTCTACAGTTACTACACTCAGACTTTGAGAAGGTACAATTGGTTTGTATTGCTTCGGATCATCTAGAATTATTGCCATAAAATCTAAACCACACATTCTCTGAGCCCAAATATATGGTCTTCCCACTTCAGGAATAAAATTTTGAAAATGATCCGTAACACCAGCAGCATTTAATAAATAAGTGGTTGCTGGGTGAGGGGAATCATTGCCATTATCTCCAGGATATAATTCATTTAAAATGCTGTCACTATTTAATACATCTGCTGCTGACACTCCCGTAATGGGCCTCGGGAAAGACATGATAAATTTTACAACCACAATTTTTAGATTAACCAAATAGAAGAAAATCAAGTTTAAAGCAGTGCCATCTTCTATTTTAACCGAAATTTGAACATTTAATGGGTGTTTTTGTAGCACTTGTTTCTTTTTGGCCTCTGCCTTTTCTTCTTTTGATATTTTCGTAGTTCTGTGATAGCGCTTCTTCTTTTCTGCCTGATCATCGTCAATGTTATCTTGATCAGAATCGGAGTCATTGGATACCAATATGTCATTTTCTATACTAGTATTAAGTTGATCCAATCTTCGAGCCTCATCTTCATCCCCAGAAATGCCTTAAATAACACAAAATATTACAAGAGATTAATAAAGCTACACTAAATATTTCCATATCCTCTGACTCAATGTTCTATAATAGATAGATTTCTTACCAACAGTAACATGTGCTGCACCTAAGACATCAGAATATGCACTTCCATTAGCATACAATAGAAACAAAGGAGGTGGTAGAAGTGATGCAGCTCTTGTTTCATCACGCTTCTCATCCAAACGCAGAGCTAGGCACTCTTGCAAAGGTTTTGTTGCCTTAAGCACATCTCGGAGATGAGGTGCAAGTGCTACCAGTCTGGATCTGGCTGCAGCGATTGCTGCAGAAACTCTCTCCTTGGAAGACACTAGTTCATTGCATGCTCCTGCCAATTCACGACGCTGTCGCAGTTCCCATTCTAACCTTGCTAATTGTAATTGATGTTCATCATTTTTGGTAATTTCCTAAAAATTAAAATGCAACCTTATTTATTTTATGACATCTATACTGTGGGTTAATAATTGAGTTATACATACTGGACGGGAGATATCCTTTGGTGCTTCCTTATAGAAATCTTCTAGAGGAACCAGTTCTATTTCTTCATCTTTAGATTTGAACTGCAAGCATTTTGTAACTTCCTTGTTTAGATGGTCGGCTTCATACAATAAATTCTGTAGAAGCAGATGTGTTGAGTCCACTCGTTGTTTCTCCTTATTCAAAGCATCTCTGCCAGCTCTTGTACGAACCTTTTCTAAACGGTTTAGTTTCTTTAATGCAACTAGCAGTAATGAAGCTTCTACTCTCTTTGCATTTATCTTCTCTTTGCTCTAAAACACTCAATGAATTTTAAAGCTTGTTATTCAATCAACCACTTTAGAAATAAAAAAAGAATTTATCGTACCTCATTAGTTCCCTTTGCTTTTAATTCAGCTATATCTGCAAAAAGCTGTCGAACATCCTGGCAGAATTTTTTAAACAAAATAGCATCTTTTTCAGCAGATCTGGACTGCGCCTCGCTTTCTTCAAATTCTACTACACGCTAAAAATTGACTTAAAGTTAACAACTTAATTCAAAAGAAAGTATCAAATACACAAATATTTTTCTAACCTTATAAACATCGACAGGTGGCTGTTTACTTATTTCACTTGAGCTATTATTCAGTTTTCGTCGTTTTTTTGCTGATGTATCTTCTTTACCCATGGCTCAATTATTAATTTTAATAAGTATAAATAGTAAATTTCTTGCAAATCGTATTTTTATTTACCGAACAACTTTTTTAATTTTACCAAAGAGTAAAGAAAAAGTATCTTGATTTTGCTTTGATATAATATTTTATAATGATCATAGATCATAATAAAATTTTGCGTCTGTAATCATCACCATGCATAAAAACTTGTAAATTACAATAATCTAAAAATCACCACTATGAGTTATAATTACTACATATGGATAAAGTTTTGTTTGAGTGAGGTTCAGGCCCAGTTGATGCTTTAGTAGGTGGCGCAATAATCGGTCTTTTAGAATTTTTTCTGCTTTCTCTAATCGTCCTTGCGCTCTTCTTGTGCTGCAGTCGATAATTGACCACTTATTAAGACCCTAAGTGTAGATTTCTCATACTAAATCTCCACTAAGTACGATCACCTAATGACTATCGAGTGCTAGCTATATGATTTTAGTTTATGTCTTCTTAATCACTTTTATAATTTATAATCGCTGAATAAAAAGAGAATTAAGTTTCAATGCGTTTACTTAATTTACTAAGCATACAACTAAATTTATAAATTATCTGTAAATAATTTATTATTACAGCATTACATTTCTAAAGTACTGCCTTTCTTTTACATATTATCCCGTTTATTATATAAAACTACGAGATATTTGCTTGAAGCATGATATTATAGCCAGTCCACTGCTTTCGCGTTCTAGGTGACGATAGTTGCGGGCTCTAATCCTTGACTATTTTGACTACCTGTAAATCCAGCCCGCAACACTAAACACAAAATTAGCCACTTTGAAATTAATTATACTCTGTTATATGGAGAACTCCATAAAATGTCCAAAATATTTAACAGATAATTTTGGTATTAATATTTGAAGATAGTGCGTTAATAATAACGTTGTCAAATGATTAAAACAACTAACGAAAAAATTGCTAATTGAATAGGCTAGGCATAAGGTAGAAGCTAGATATCTTAGCAAGCAAGCAAACACGGGTCGGTCGCGTGCCACGCTCGACGTCACATAGCGACCGCTAGCTCGCTGGAGACCGGACACACCGTGGCCGGGGCGTGTTTTGTTTATCGAAACTACTCGATAATAAACACAGTTTACTTAGTTCAACGCAAACTTTCATTTGTACTTAGACTGAGCTAACAATCGTCGTTAATTCTGTGTAGAATTAAACAATAAAAATGTCTGAAGAGAAACTGGAATTACGCACGATCACTTACATGTGTCCGACTCATCCGGTACAATTATACGAGTTGATACTCGAGCTGCTAGAAGATGCAATGGACTGCCACACAACCTTGCAGTACGAGAGCAGGAGTCCAGGTCCGCTTCGAGATCGTCCCGATCCTTTCAGCTCAAATAAAATTGATTTAGGTGAGTACCCGCATTGATGACCATTTTACAGTACTTATAAGCACAGATAAAGGGAATATATGCTGTTGTATTTTAATACTTATACCTGAAATAATTATTGTCGGAAAAAAATATTAAAATAATGTAAATTGTCATTTATATTTAACTTAATTGAGGGTAGAAAGTAAAGTGTTTGTTGTGGACTTTGTTCCGCAATCGATGGTAGATGGCGCGTGCAAACAAATTTTTAGTACAAGATTTTTTTTTAAAACAATAAATAAGACAAAGGCAGTACAGTACATATGATGATAATGAAACAAAACAAATATTTGTTTTCGAGCAAATTTCTATGATAAAAATTAATGATATGTTTACCTCATTCTCAGGTTAAAGGACGCGAACATTAACTTATTTATCACTGGTCAATAATCTTTAAAACACTAAAGAAAAGAAAATATATTAAACACTGCATCAATACATATCTTACATACTCGTATAATAGTTCCATTAAGTACCCTTTACTCTTCCGAGACTTAGTACTAGCTGTAGGACTTAGTACTAGTTCTGTAAATATCGAAGTCTTTACGTCATGTAGACTTTGTTCTATATACAGGCCACAGTTAATCGAACTTCAAATGACCTGTTCAGTAAACTTCGACATTCTTTCCAGTAATTATGGTAGTTAGTGATACGCGATTAACTGACCAAACACAGACAGTTGTCGAACAAGACAAATAAAATTAAACTATAAATAGTACACGATGGGTTATACTAATTAATATACAGTGATCTAATGTCACAAGTACATAGTGATGCTAATATATATGTATGTGGTGTGCCAGCCACCTTGTTACGTATTAACAAGATAATGGTAATTAATTTTTTCTGGATCTACTAATTTCGTTGCATGTAAGGGCTAGTTCATTCAGATAATTTTTAATAGAGTTCTTGATCTCCAATGAAATAGCAACTCTGGGTTGTGATCTTGTAAAACAACAAACATAGAACTCCGCGAACTAAGTAGTATAAACTTAATGTAATGAAATATCGCAAACCAATCTATTTCTCTGATGATTATTTGAATCAAATGATGTAACTCTTGTTATTCTACAGCGTTTATGACAGCGGCATCGTATATGAATCTCTGTAATGAAGGAAATAAGCACATTGAATTGTTACCGGCAACTCCAGTGTTCGCGCACCAAATGAACGTCGAAAACAAACCGGGATATTTCTCCGATATTATAATACACAGCGACAAGAAGTAAGTTGTTTTGTTTTTCTAACTAACACTCACTTTGTAGCACAAAAACTAATTCATCGCTATAAAAACAGAATATTTTACACGCTTGTGGGTTGGGTTATATTCCGATCAAGGGAGAGACAACGATCCAATAATAACTTTTCCGTAAATAAATTCGACACAGTTTATAAAGTTTTCATGGGCATATCTATAAAAATCACCAAAATTGTCAAATCTTAAGCAAGCCTTGGGTCCCATAACCTTGTACTAGTTAACGACATTCCGGTTTTCTGTTATTTAATCGTAGAAAAATAGAACTACAGAGCGGTTTGTCCACTAAATTCTATTGAAGTTACTTGCAAGTTTCACTAACATAGTCGTAAGTTCAACTCCCATATCTTACTTTAATTTTCGTGATCATAATTTATTTTAATAATCACGATACGTTCATTATTACTTTTAAATATTTTCTATAATGAAAAACATTCATGCGTCTACACAAAGCCTCGGCCGATTTAATTGTTCGATAATTTTCGATCTTTATTATCGCTCGAAAGCAAATAAAACGTTGCATTGATAAATTTCACGTTATCAGTTACGGCGTGTCTATTACTGATAACGAATGTCCCTATTGCTTCACAATTAACTTACAACGACTATTGTGTCCAGTGCTACGTATAATATTCTTAATTATTTCCAGAGCACATAATGTTAACACCCTACTAGACCTGCGCGGCTGCACATTTGCCTACAGTAACGAAGATTCTCTAAGTGGAAGCAAAATTGTTTTGAAAACATTGAAGGAGAAAGGAGAAAATGCATCGTTTTTTGGATCCTTATTAAGTATGGGTTACCAATTCTTATTGTGATTGAAAGTTCATTTTGTATTATTAGTTTCTCGCCCCAAGAACAGTTCAATTCTTATTGCAATATTTGGTATGTGGAAATTACTTTTTGATAAAAAACAATAGATACTTGACGTGAAAGTATAGCACCCAACATTTGAATTGGTACATCGGGCAGACAAGTACTCCTGGTTTCGACGTATCAAATGTAAACGCCGGGTAATTTACACATTTTGTAACATGTAAGCACATGGAAATGATAAACATGTCATTGGAATATAGCAAGACCTGACGATTGAGCAAAACAAACGAAGATGCTGACTCCGCGATCATATTTGCAGTCGGCGTTTTTTTTTAATGCATTAACTTTTCTAATATGAAAATATCTGATGTTTACAGAATCCGGTTCGCATTTGGCTTCGGCTCAAATGGTCCTTTCGAAGCAAGCTGAATGGGCCGCAGTCGATTCCACAACTCTTTTATATTCAAAGAAATATATGCAGGACGGCGGAAAGGAGATAATAACGCTTGAAACTTTAGGCCGTCTACCGCCGTACCCTATCGTGATTAATTCAAAACTTCCAGGTAGATATCGTGACCGATATCTTTGTGATAATAAACAAATCTTGGATTACTTCATTTACAGTTTTTTTCAGATGAAATAAAGAAAGAAATCGCGCATATTTTATTGAAATTGCCACAAACTCCGAAATGGAAACAGAAGTTCGCCGCGTTCGGTGTTATCAAGTTTGAGGTGAACAGCGCAGGCGCGTATGATGGGCCGGCTGCACAGATGTGGGCCAGTCAGAAAGAGAAACTTAACATTAGGTATTATTAGATTACTTCTTGTTATATCCTTGTTGTATATTATTTACATTTTATATAATGATTATACTCCTAAATAAGTTAAGTTATACTGATTATAATCTAATTATGTGTTTATGTTACGTATTTTTAAATGTGTATGTCTTGTAAAATACTAAATAAAATTGTTCAAAAAACTGAACTATGGTATAAATCATCCACATGACATTTTTTTAAATTAAAAAAACTACATTAAAGAAAGCAAAAACAATATAAAAATACTTTTTAATAGCAACAAAAAGTGTTATAAAATAAAAAAACAAATTACCAAATGCTACAAATTAAGAACCAAAAACCATAGGATTTTTTTTATTTATTTAAATTTGCAAACGTCACATCCACATGGAGGAGGTTTGATAAATTTTCTAGTTGGCTTTCGACAGTGCATCACAACTTTTTTGGGCATGTTGAATACAAGAGTACCAGGTTTGACTTCCGCAGTAGCTGTGCCTTTTTCTTCCTGAAATATGCATCAAACTGCATTCATAATTACAATTTGATTTCCTTCTTATCAATATCTTTTAACAAAGAATTTTGATCTGAATAAAAATGTTAATAAAGTGCATGTAAAGGATAGCAATAAGTTCTACTATTTACCTAAAAGAAATGAAAAATAAATGGAAATAATTTTTTAAAAAAATTATGTTGTAAATAAATAAAAAATGGTGAACAAACCTGCTTCAGTTTTATTGATGAATTTAAAAAAATCATTGTTATTCAATGATTAGCAACATTTTTATGTATTTAAAATAATGATTCTTGGTAAATTATAAATATACCAAATCTTGAATATTAAAGAGAATGATACATATAACTACATCACAAACTATGAATGTCTATTCAATGTTAAAAAGAAACAAAGATTTTTACATTTATGTTTTATAATTTAAGTTAATTTTTAAATGCATACCTTTATGTAAGCAACAGATTAAAATAATATCAACACTAAACAATAATAACATTTATTTATAAATATTTTATGTAACTACTTATTATCAAAGCTAGGAAGTGTAACTGGAGGGACTATACAATTCCTCCGCCATTGATGTGGTCAATCTCTTCTTGAGTCAGCGGTGCCCTGCGGTAGCGCGGTGGTAACTCTATATCAGATATGGTGCTCATAGTAACTGTTTGTTGTGATTGCTGCAAAGAAATAACTTTAAATGAAAAAAAAAATAACAACTCATATTTTGTTTCATTGCAACCAAAACTTTATAGTTAAAAATGATGTCATTTTAGAGCTAGTACCAATCAGTAATGTAAAAACAACAATTACAAAATCTTGAAGACATAAAGACTCACTCAGGGAAAAAAATTTAAGAAACCTGGTGGATGTTATATTTGCTTTACTCTAAATGCAACAAAATCTTAATATATGGTTGTTTCTTACAAAACAAGACAAATAGGGAAATTTTAGAGTGTTAAATTTAAAAAAAAGATCACTGACTCACTGGCCTTGATCACTTAACATACCTACTTCTATGATAAATCTATAAATACTATGTGATATAGCATTATTTAAAGAATATAATACAGACCACAGGGGCGGGAGCTGCGGCTGGTGCCGCCGACGCTGGTGCAGCTGCAGGAGCAGATGGAGGCCGTCCAGCTTGAGAACCTCCACCCTTTCGGAATTTAATGACCGGTACACGGAAAAGTGCGGTCGTTAATCTAACCATGCTGTATATCAGAAATTATTTTACAAATCACTTAACTAATTTTTCATTTGCATCTAATTTATATTGGAATTCGATTATTTAACAATTTGACATAACTCTGACAGTTCCCAGGTGACAAAGTCAAACGTCAAGCGATGGAAGTTTAAAAATCGAATATATTGTCCATTACATTTTCAGTCTAACATTTACAAAATATTATAGATTTCGGCCTTGAGCTTGTTAATAAATTAGTAGACAGATACAAATAACCCGAACCAAAGGTTTTTTCAAATTGTGTTAAATAACTGTATTTTCCACTGTCTACATAGTTGTAAAAACATCCTTCTGACTTGCTTTGAAAAAACAGAGACAGGAAGAGCGAGAGAGGGAAAGAATTTAAATTATAGGTAAAAGTTCTAACCCGGTCATGATTGAGCCAGAATTCGTTATTCAAAATTACTCTTAAATAAGTGATAGCTTATTTTACTTATTAAACTGTATATGTATATATTATTTACTACATACTTGGAAACAGTTATCTTTAACCTTGAGTCACAGATTTAATCTTATATGTTTACCAAATACTGATGTTTTATTTACACATCCTATGTATATCTACTTATGCAATAAATTATTTTGATGTCATCATTCTTGTTTTAACTGAATAAGTTCCATCTACAAATAAAATAATGTTTATATGTTGATTGAAATCCGTCACACTTCTAGTCACACCATCATATTATGAACTGCAAGGAAACTAAACTGAGGCATGAATTTCAATTAAAGCTTAAAAAAAATCAAGATACTGATTATAATTTTATTAGTGGTAAAGATTTGTATACTTTTATAATTTTATGGTTCAATTTACTTAAAAATAATATAAATACGTCTTTTGTTTCAAACATTCAACATACACTCTACGCCAAAAAAGTAAATTAAAAAGCTAATACAGTGCATCAAGCACTTAGAATCACAAAAAATATCGACATGTTTGGTATATGCAACCAAAATAAAAAGAAAGAGCACATCTAGATATAGTTTTCTACTAGAACATCTATGGCTTTTTATTAAATAAATTTAAACTGGTCTGCGGAAGTTCTTTCCGGCGTATTTGGCTTTGTCGCCCAACTCCTCTTCAATGCGCAAGATCTGATTGTACTTCGCCAGACGCTCAGAGCGACAAGGAGCACCAGTCTTGATTTGACCAGTTGACAAACCAACCACCAAGTCAGCAATGAAAGTGTCTTCGGTCTCTCCAGACCTAGAATATAAATGTAAAGTTACTCGCAACATTCTCGCATGGTTTCAAAGCAACAACAATTTTTTCTGCAAGCAAAAACTTTTAAAACAATAACGCTTTACCTGTGAGAGACCATAGTACCCCAGCCATTCTGCTTGGCCAGAAGATGTGCGTTAATAGATTCAGTTACGCTGCCAATTTGGTTAACCTTGAGTAGCAGGCAATTGCATGCCTTCTTTTCTACTGCAGTGGCAATACGTTTGGGATTTGTCACCTAAGAAAAATTAATATTTATTACAAATATGCTATAATTAATAGCTTGTTTCCATATCAAATATTACGTACCGTAAGATCATCGCCCACAATCTGGATTGGTGTACGAGATGTCAAGTTTGTCCAGGCGGACCAGTCATCCTGGTCGAAGGGATCTTCAATGGACACCATTGGGAATTCCTTGATGAAATCCAGATAAACTTCAGCAAGCTTCTCAGAGGACAAGTAATCAGCAGGGTTAGATTTAGGGTTCTTGAAGTCCAAATCATATGTACCATTCTTAAAGAACTCGGAGGCCGCTACATCCATTCCAATTTCAATCTAAGAAAAATATAAACATGATTTATGGGCACATAAGTTGTTTTAAAATTGAAATACAAAATATGAGATTTTTTTTCAATTTCTTGTGTTTGGAATTAAAACTAACCTTTCCTGTATAACCTGCTTGTTTGATAGCATCTTGGATCAAGAACAGAGCATCCTTGTTATTTTGAATGTTAGGAGCAAAGCCACCCTCATCACCAACAGCAGTTGAGTCCAGTCCAAACTTTTCTTTGATGATTTTCTTCAGGTGATGGTAGATTTCAGAACCCATGCGCATAGCTTCACTGAAGGATGAAGCACCTAAAATACATAATAATATTTAAAAATCATACATCAACATTTAATAATAATAATAATAATAGATATTAGTAATAATAGATTATTAATAATAATAGATAATAGATAATCAAATAATAATAGATTGCAATTCTTTAATTTACCAGTAGGCAAGATCATAAACTCTTGCATAGCAAGTTTGTTGCCAGCATGGGAGCCACCGTTAATAACATTAAATGCAGGGACTGGCAGAACAATGTTGCTGTTGCCAGCCAAGTCAGCTAAATGCTTATAGAGAGGAACTCCTTTCTTAGCTGCACCAGCCTTAGCCACAGCCAAGGAAACACCAAGGATTGCATTGGCACCCAACTTTGACTTGTTCTCTGTTCCATCAAGGGTGATCATGAATTGATCAATCTAAAAGACATTTACAAGAGGTTAAATACAAATATAACAATAATCAGATTACATCAGTGCAAATAAGTAATGAGATATAAGCAAATAAAGAGTATAGTAATTTACAAATATCTTATTGGCTGAATTAAAGTGACATGCTGCAATGCCTCTCCCCAAAAACTGTTTTGAGTCATTGAAATATTTGAAAAATACTAGGGGGTACATTACCTCCTTTTGTTGAGTAACTTCAAAGGTCTGTTTCAAGAGTTCTGGTGCAATAATGTCATTGATGTTTTTGATTGCAGTCAAGACACCCTTTCCATGATATTCACTCTTCACATTGTCCCTGAGCTCCAGAGCCTCATGGACACCAGTTGATGCTCCAGATGGAACAGCAGCGCGGAATAAACCCAATTCTGTGACCTGTTAATTATGTTGATAAGTATGAACTGTTATTATCTTGTTATTATTATCATTTTAATTAATTTTAACTGTACTAAAGTCAAAATGAACACAAAATTATAAAACAGCTAAATGATATGTTTATATAATAAGTAACTATTTATAAATACTGCAAAAAATGTTATTTGTTATAATGTAATTAAAAATAGTATTTATAATTACTAAATCTGTAAACTTACCAAGTCAACTTCAACAGTAGGGTTACCACGAGAGTCGAAGATCTGACGAGCTTTGATGGACTTGATAGGCATTTTGAATGTAAAATTTGCAAACCTGTTAGAACAACCAACTTGAAATAAATCAAAGCTTTGATTTATACAATATTTGTAAACGTTATAGTAGGAGATAACAATGATTATTTATTAATCAACAATATATATATTTTATGAAATCTAATTGGAAAATGACTACTCCTGTACTTGCGGTAAGATTGTTACCTAATAAAAAGTATTATAGTACTTGATGCAAAGTACTTTTTTGAAGTAATTTAGGAAAATAACCAGTATATAACAAAATTGAACTAACCTGATAAAGTTTAATAATTCAATTATCCTCTTTGACCTTTCTCTTAAAATACAGCTGCAGTAGGTATATCTCAAAGAAATCTGCCGGCTAGCTGTACCTTTGACCTACACAAGGTGAAATTAGGGATGTCTTACGCAAATTTTAATCGATTGAGTTTGTATCGAAATTAAGTAGTTAAAGATTAACTTCAAATTTATTTTGAAATGCAAAACTAAACTATATAAAATGTTATGTTTTCGTATTTTGCCAAAATAATATTGATAACTCACTTGAAGCAAAGTTAATGAAATTGCATTGTTTTTTTCCAAATCGATTTTTGAATCGTACTAGTCCGCAGGGGCTTACGAGTGATTCAATATTTAGTTAATAAGCTCTTTATGTCAAGTGAAGTGGGTTGAATGTGTCACATGTCAATGGACTAAAATGTCATTATCAATATTTGTTAAGTAGAAACAAAATAATTTTTCTAACTTTACAATGTCTGATAAAAAGGAATCAAAGGAAGAAAAGAAACCTATAGTCATAAAAAATGCTACAGACTTGCAAAGATTAAAACTGGAAAAGCTTATGAAGAATCCAGTTAGTTACAAATACAGATGTTTTTGTAATTATGTTTCAATGCTTTAATTAAAACTGTCTTTAATTTTAGGACAAACCAGCGGTTATACCTGAACCACCTAGACAAAAAACGTTAGCACCTCCTCCGGACTTTGTGCGCAATGTTATGGGCTCCAGTGCAGGAGCTGGTTCTGGAGAGTTTCATGTATACAGACATTTACGACGAAAGGAATATGCTAGACAAAAGTTTATACAAGAAAAAAGTGAAAAGGTTTGGTTTTTATTGTAGAATTAAATTATAGAAATAGAATAAAATTAAAATACCTAAAATTTGTAAAAAAAATAGTCAAAAAAGTCAATTGCTCCCAATCTGAGCTCTGTATTTCTCTATTTTTGCACATGTTTTTGGTCGTTCCGTCACTGTACAAAAAATACTGTCTCATATTTTTAAATTTAATAAATATAATAAAATTTTTAGGAAAAACTTGATGATGAATACCATAGGAAAATCGAAGAAAATAGGAAAGCTGCAGAAGAAAAAACAGCAAAGAAAAGAGCAAAAAGATTAAAGAAAAAACAAAAAGCAAAGTCAAAAATGAAGAAACCAAAGACTGGTACCGAACAATCCTCACAGTCAGAGTCTGATAAAAATTCTGATGAAAGCGAAGAAGAGAACAATGAAAATATAAGTAGCGATAATGATAAATCTTAACATAGGTTAATAGTACATAAGCTTAAATATATAATTAAAATAAAGTCTTTGTTAATACTTCACTTTTTTAAAAACAAAATACATAAGATCTTTTGCTGAAGCATTAGGGTCTATTTTATCCTCCAGGTCAATTTAAATGTAATTATATATTAATGTACTACGCAAACTCATATGTAAGTAAATATGAGTTCTTAAAATAAAACATTATTTAAGTTACATTAAATTTATTTAAAAATTCTTAAACATTTATAAATAGTGCAGTGTTACATCTACTGCACTGATGCCATGATGCTGTCTTCATTCTTCTTGAGGATGACAAAGCCTTCCATGACAGGCGACAAGGGGAGGTACTCATCAGTGGCAAGCTCCGCACGCTCGCCAAATGATAGCAGCACCGGTGTAGTGTGTGTGTGAGAACCAGCAATTGTTTTAGGTGTACCCGCTTTGCCAATCACATCAACTGCCTGAAAATGAAATACACTATTTTAATCATCATTAAAAATAGCTATAATAAAATTGACATCTAAAGCAGACAACATAAGAGTAAAATAACTTAGAATGGTGGGTTAATTTTTTCTTGTTTCTAAAATTAAATCATTCTCCATACCTGACCAACACGAACGCTGACATTGAGGGGCTGCAGGTTCTCATCAAGGGTGACCAACCAGCGGGGCTGCATGGCCGTCGCCAGTACATACAGCAAGTAGTGCGACTTGCCCAGGATTACTGTTCATTAAAACACAGCACTGTATGAAGTTTTCTTCTCATGAGAAAGAGTAAAATTTATGTAGTAATGACAACCAAAAGGGTTAAGTTATCTCAGTGAGCAGATAACTTAATCTTCTATATACCGATCATATATAATTGAAGTCTTTACGCCCATTAACTTATAGACAAGTTACAAATTCTCACAGTCAAGTCAAACATCAACCAACAATAAAAATATTAAATAAGCAATTTGGATGTAGACTCACTATTCTTGCAGTCAAGGAATGCGGTGAGAACGACGAGCAGTCCAGCGAGTGCGGGCTGGTTGAGCAGGCGGCGGTCGGCGTGCGCGGGACACAGCGTCACCGTGCCTTTGCCCGCGTGGCACAGCCCTTGCGCCAGGCGTACCATGAACAAGTGCACAGGTGACTTGCCGTGGTATAACGCCAGAGCACGTAGCATCGTCGCCAGCCTATAGATAAGGATATACAAATTACTCCTTAACTCACCTAAAAACATCTTAAATCTAGTAAATTAGTCAAATGAGTGCTATCTTACTACCTACTAATGTCAAGAATGCAAATGCTTTTTTTATCGCGTAACTCCAGTACGACTTGACAAATCTGCATGAAATCTGGAAGCGAGATAAATTGCAGTCTGGAATTGCACAAAGGAAACCAACTCTTTAGTTACCTGGCATTGTTTGTACCGGCGCCAACAAGTCCCATAGCGAAAATAGCATTGTATGCGACATCATTGTCGGAGTCGTGCGAGTACTTGTTGAGCACATCAATGACGGCCAGCTGCGGGTTGGACACCGAGCACAGCGCTATCGCCAGTGGCACCGCGCGCCGCACTGCCGGCTCGCCATAACGACCCTACGAATATGTAGAACATAATGTAATGTTTCATACATTCATTTTGCAAATGATATCTGATGGATTTTATGAAATAATGACAGTCTAAATAGTAAAATAAAAAAAATACATCAAAATTATCTGTTACTTTCTACATTTAATTGATATAAAAATTACAATTAGGTGCAAAGGATCCTTCGAGTCGGCACTTTCAACTCAGGTCATTTAAACTAGCTTAATACAATCTGTTGTAGACTAAGTGACTGACCAGTTGTCCAAAGATGCGCGTGCACATCTCAGCGCCGGTCTCCTCGGCGAGCGCGATCACAGCGACACCTAGCGTGGCGACCGCCTGCACAGACGACAGCTCCTTGTTCGCCTCCTTCTCCTTTTCCTTCTCTTTGCTCTTGCTGTCCTTTGACTTGCCTGTGAAATAAAATAAAAACTACTAGTAATTGCCCAACTAACAGTATTGTTACTTCCTATATTTATAAACAACTTGATTTATTTTAGACATGGGGGAGTCGATTGTCGACTCTTTTCGTTCTCCACAGTGTAATTGTTTGCATAATAATTTGGAATTTTTAATGACTTACTTTTGTTCTTGTCATCTTTTGAACTGCCAGCAGGGCTACTCTCCTTAGCCTCTTTCTTGTCTTGCTTTTTGAAGGCTGTGTCTTCAGTAGACGATTGTTCATTCTACACAATGTTAGACATGATTATAATAAAAAAGAAACGACAGAGTTATAATAACAGCAAATTTATGGTGAAATATCGTCATTTAACAAGAGCAGAACATAGAAATTAGCTACAGTGTTTACATACCTCAGTGTCGTAATGCTTGGAGCAGATGTGCAGCATCTGTTGCACGACGAGCACGTCTCCGGTACCGGCGTACGCGCACATCGACAACGTTGTCTGGCAGAGCGACTGCTGCGGCTCCGGTAGCACCTCCAGCGCGGCCATCGTAGCCTCCGTGCGCTCCTTGCAACCTGCGACACCACAACAAACATACTGAATCCATATATAGATCCATACAGATAAAAAAACTTATGGAGAGAAGCAATCGTATTGAATATACGTACCTAAGAAACACAATCCAAGACCCAAGTGCAAGAATCTGGCGTAGGTGGAAGAGTGAAGTTCTTTGTTGTCATCAATCAGACGTTGAATGATTGCACATGTGACCTGCAATATTAATATTTATAACTGAGAAAATGAAGAAATTCTACACTATATAACAATATTTTATAGTCAATTTAAAAAAAACATACAGTCATTTAAAACTGTAATATAGTATTATATAAGATTAATTTGTATACTAACGTCACCGTTGCAGGAGCCGACAGCGATAAGTCCACAGGCGATGGCGGCCAGTGCGCAGATCTCAGCAGGCGCAGCAGCGTCGCTCAACACCGGCAGCAGGTGTTGCAGCACGTCGTCACGCTGCGTACCCGCATACGCTATTCCCAGACCTAGGAAGAACACACATGTTAACACATAAAATGGCACTGCCTCACATGACGAATCCACTTCATTCTGAAAAAATTGTAGTGATGGCTGCAAACAATCTGTTGCTAGTAAATAACAAATAGAACAAGTTTCTTGCAATATGTCAAAAGCACATAACAAATCAGCATAAATGGAAAGTAACTTAAATTAATGAATAACAATCAATAATAAATAATATATAATGCTCTAGCTACTCATACTATTTGGGTCCCTGTTAAAGTTATCATGACTAAAAATTGCTTAACTTACCCAAAACACTACCAATCCTTAGATTAGAACTTGAATGTAAAACATAGTCGGACAGTAGAGCAAGGGCAGGGTCGCATTCATTACGCACGCCGCAGTTGACTAGACCCAGTGCAAGTAATGCACCCGCTTTGATATGTTCATCTGCAGTGTACAGGTACTTGTCGATAGGAGTCAGACCACCATCAACGTCCCACAAGTGAATCATACCAAGAGATGCGGCTGCTGATAACATGCCTGAAATAAAAAAAACATGTTTGGATATTCATAGTAAAATGTTTGGATTTTATTTGTCAATGGATTTAACCACAATTATATTTTGGTACAAGAGATAACATCAGTCTCTAATGAATAACTAATAGAAAATAGTCTTTTTTACAAGTCTCTGAGGCAAGAGAAAACCAAATTTTTTAAGTTGGTATTATTATGTCACTCTTTATAATTAAAATAGCATTGAAAATTACCATGATCTTTGTTTTTATACATCCACTTGTTACCATCTTCAGTGGTGACAAGTTTGTCGCGACCAAAACCGGCGTTTACGAATGCATTGACGAATGTAGCAGAGAGATTCTGTCTGGCTGAATCCACAGGGTGCTCAGCTAACAGAGAAGGTCGCAGTGCCGAGCCAGCCGACTCTAACCATGTCTTATACACTTCTTCTGGAGTTTTAGGTTCCATTATATCAAGCTAAAAAAATAATATGATTATATGTCTTTTTAAGTCAATAACATACATAAGTATAGCATGGTTAATAAAGTTTTAATTCAAGTAAAATATGAATTTGTGTCTGTACCTCTCTTGCCAAGCTAAGATAATGATCATTTATGTGTGCATTGAGGAGAATTGTACGCAAATCTTCATCGTCCACATCAATTGGTACATACTGTCTCGCCAACATGTAACATAACTGTTTCTTTACCAACCTATAATAAAAATATACAATAATTAGAGCAAACTTATGAAGAAATCTTATTAAGCATCTTAATTTTATACAGTAGTCTGTCCAGCATGCATGAAAAATAATCTTTCCTACCTGTATTAACTAAAAAGAAGTAGATATATTATTGTTACATTATGTAATACATACGGGTCACTGCAGGCATTAAAGACTTCTTCACATTTTGTTTTGTCATGCAGTTGCATGGCCACAAGCAAGGCACGTGGGTACTCTCCAAAACGCAAGTATGTATCCAGCACACCTTGTAGAATTTGTGTAGATTCCGGTTCAACAACATAACTTGCGCATCTGAAGATAAATATTAAATAAACAAATGAACTCAACTGACTGAACACATGTGGCTAAATAAGATCTTTTAAATCTATCAAATTGTTTGGTTAAGTCCTCAAGAGGGCTCAATGGAGTGGATATTCTCATAAAACCCTATTAGTTTGACAAATAATAACTTGATTTTTGTTAAAGGGTAAAAATTCTCTGAACAATATTGAATAAAGCACTATAACATAGAAACAATATTGTTCTTTATACATATACTCTACAATAATAAATATAACTGATAGTGAAATTGCACAACAAAAAATATACTAACCCAATTAAATATAAACAGACACGAGGATAGTTGCTCTGATCCATATGCTGTGTGAGTAAATCAAGTCTGTCAATTTCCATCAACAAATCACATGCCTGGATCTCAGCTGAGTGTTGCATGTCAAAGGTGATAACATCACGCACTAATGGTAACAATGTTTCCATATTTTCTATATTCCATTCTTCAGCAATTTCACCCTCCAATTGTCTATAATTTAGTATTTTAATACAATACAACAAAACAATAGAAAATAACTAATTAAATTAT